CTAACGGGAGAAGAAGTTGTTGAGAATGTATCATTTAATGGTTTTAAGTTTTAAAAAAAAGTATTATGCATTATTTATAATGGAAAGTTATAAAAAGAACCTGCAAAAGTTCTATTAAGATCATGGGATGCTACAAGTAGCTAAACTCAAATATATAATACTATATAACCATATTAGTAATAAAGTCAAATGTATCAAGTTCATATGATGCTACAAATAACTTCAACGGTTAGGGTTTCTTAGGTTTTAACCTTATAATATTTTTGATTTGTTTTCTTATGCGTTAAAATAAACTTAATTAGTATTATTATTAGGAATGGAATTTTTATTTTTATTGAATGTAGATACTTTCAATGTAAAACATGAGTTTTGATTATGTTTTCACTCTTTGCTCATTGGTTTTAAAGTCTAAAGAATTGTAGAATCAATGAACGAAGCAGGATTAATGATTGAGTTAATCAGCAAAAAATCTAGGAATTAGCCAGAAATTGTGAAGCACCCATAAGCTTCCGCGACGCACCTGGCTTTTTGGGCTGAAAGTCTTATCTTATGTTTTGGGCCTATTTAAGGGGCACAAACCCATAGGAATTCGTCACACACAGCCTCTATTACCCCTTAAACGATCCTTATGAAACTATACCCTTCATTGAAGAATTTTGAGCTCATCCTCTCTCACAAAATCCAATTTGTGTTCATTTAGTGATCTTTGGTGCTCTAGAGTGAAGGAAACAAGAAATATTGATCAAAGGAGCTTTGTATTTGAAGTATTCAACCTTCTTATCACTTTTGGACCTTTGTAAGTCATAAAAGTCCAAGCTTTATTCATTTCATCCATAGATTTAGGAGTTGGTGGTGTTTTTGGTCCATTTTAATGAGTTTTGGCCCCTTTGAGGCTTGTTTCATAGATTTTTATGGACTCTTGAGCTTATGGTTGATGTTTGGGTTAAGAACTAGTCTTTTGGTGGAGTATAGAGTGCATGCAAGATCTCTCTTTATTCCATGCATGAAGAAAAGTAAGTTTTTGGAGATTTCTTAATCTAGGATCTTAGATCTTGGTTGTTTGGAGTGTCTCAATGGATAAAGTTGAATACTTTATCCATTAAGACACTAGTGGGAATCAGATCTAAGAGTTGGAGCCCTTGACTTCATGGCTTAAATTTAAAATGAAAATTAGATCTGAAGGGATGTGGCGCGTCTTCTGGAGGACGTGGAGCACCTCTAAATTTTTTCTGAGTTGCGTCTGATTTAAGCTAGTAGTCGATTATTTTGTCCTTTTGAGGACGATAGGCACCCAGGACGGGGTGCGTGGCGCCTTTGATCTTTTTCATTGACTTTTGGGTTGTTGACTTTGACCGTTGACCATTGACTTTTGACCATTTTGACTTTTGGGTCAAACCTTGACGAACTTGAGTATTCGACAAGGTTTGGTCTTGGATTGGAATTAGGTAGTTCGTGCTAGTTGTTTCATCTCTGAGACTGTTGTAAAGTTCCCTCTGTTGGCTCAAGTGAGTCTTCTCATTACATTACTTATGTCATGGTTAGATCCTCTATGTGTTGGATGTTTATGTAATACTATAACATGATTGTATGCCTAGTTAGACTAGCAGGGTATTGCTTCTCTACTTGTATGTTTACGTGCTTCATTGGGCTAAAATAGGCCATTAGCCTGAAATATGTCGTTGGGCTGAAATAGGTCGTTGGGTTAATGACACCACCATTTTTATAATATTATTAGTCAAATAGGTCGTTGAGTTGATGACAACATTGGTGTTGCAGAACCGTAAGTCAAATAGACCGTTATTTGTATGAATAGTTATTACTATGATGTATGTGATATTTTGGGAAACTCACTAAGCTTTGGCTTATAATTGCGGATTTAATGTCTTTCATGTTGTTCTTCATATTGTGGGTAAGCTCCAGTTTAACATCCCGAACTTCGCCGGTATATTTCGAATCCCTTCTCTTTATTTAATTGCCATTGTAGTCCCTGGAGTTGGTTGAGTTGGGCCATGAGGAGTATAAGTACTAAAGTTGCAACTTTAAGTCAGGTAGGAGTACGTTGAGAGTACATAAGGGTACGTTGAGCGTACTAGGCGCGCCCTAGTACGCTGGGTGTACACTCATGTACGTTGGGCGTACTCATGTCAGGACAAAACCCTAATATTTAGGGTTTGGGGACTATATAAACACCCTTATGGATCATTTCCTCTGATTAACCTCAGCCTCCACTGCCTACATTCGTCCTCCCCAAAACCCTAGCTCTTCCTTGTGGGTGTAAGCTTATTTGGTGTGTTTTAGAGTGTTTCAAGAGGAAGGCATTGCATCCAAGTGTTGGAGAAGAAGATCAAGTTCATAGATCTGAAGTTAGGTTGTTCTCAAGAAGCTCCTAAAGGTATAAAGTTCCAAACTTTATGCTTATATGCTTATATCTCATCATTTTACTTTATTAGAAGCATTTCTTGTCCCAAAAGCCACAAATTGGTGCATGTTGTGTTGTGGACGAAAAGAGTTGTCCTTCCAGGCTCTTGAAGGGACCTTGAGTGATAAAATAAGGTCCCATAGGCTGTAGGTGTCCCATACAAGAGAAATAAGGTCTTGATGGATTAAGACCAAGCATTTAGGACTTTATGGACGTCTAAAGTGATAAAGTTCGTGACTTTATGGACCCTGGGCGTGTTAGGCCTCTAGATCTGAGATTAGGACTTAAGTGCTTAAGCCATTAAGCACTTAATAAGGTTTTGGCTAGTTATGGAGTACGCCCAACGTAAATTCAGTACGCCCAGCGTACTGGGTCAACCACCCCGATGGTGGTCAACATCTGGTCGCGTACGCCCCGCGTACGTCCTCTGTTGGGCCATTGACATTTGGGCTTCGGGTATTGGGTTGTTTATGGACTAAAGGGACTTGGGCCTTTGCTGGACTTAGTAAATAAGGTGTTATGGGTCAGTTAGTGGTAGTGGATCATGGGTTTAGGCCCAATAAGGAGATTTTGCCCAATTTAGTAAATTGGGCCAATAGTGGACTTATGTATATGGACTTCCAAGTTGAGGGCTTGGTGTGGGACTTTGGCCAACAAAAGGGAATGGACTTAATGAGTTATGAGGACACTTAGTCAAGGGAGTAATGCTGAGTATTAACCTAGTATTTATTATTATGTGACAGTTCAGAATTCCCGGTGAGACAGCAGTTAGAGAATTATAGTATTTCAGCACTACTTGCGAGGTGAGTTACCTCACTATACTAAGGGGGTCTAAGGCACCAAGGCCGACCCATTGGATATGTTATCCTAGCAATGTTAGATGTTGAGTATGAGTTAGTGTTGCATGCTAGTGATTATGCCAGTTAGGTAGATCGGTAGGACTATCTGTGTTGTTATATGATTGTCTGCATGCTCAGTAGTTATGTTATATGTTGATATGTTATGTGGGATGGGTTGAGAATGTACTGCTTCGTGCGGTGACCAACAAACCCTAGGAGCATTCTAGATACGAGTTGTGGGCCCGGTAGGCAATCCAGACTCGTATTGTGGGCTCGGTGGCAATCCAGATGTAAGTTGTGGGCCCGGTAGGCAATCTAGACTCACACTGTGGGCCCAGGGGTATTCCAGTCTGTAAAGCTGTGGACCCAGTACATGCTGTTATTTGTATATGTATTATGTGCAGTGTATCGGTATTTTGGGGAACTCACTAAGCCTCGGGCTTACAGTTTCAGTTTATTGTTTCAGGTACATCAGGGGATCGCGGCAAGGCGAATGCGTAATCGTACAGCTCCTCATATTTATGTTTATGTTTCTGGGATACTCTGATATTATACCTTTTGAAAACAAGTTTTGTAATAACTAATGGTTTTTGGATTGTTTAAAAAAATTTAATTGACTTAAATTTTATGGGTGTTACATCCAGTTTGACTATATTTTATGCGCATCGCAGACGATTATGACTTCAATTTTTTTTTTGACTTGATATTATGTTTTTCCAAAACTCGGTTTTGATACATTTTTACACTATGGTTTTACAATGTTTTGAATTAACCTATTACTCTAATCTTTTATGAAAATGTTTTGAATTACTTATTGTTTTTAAATGAAAACTTTTGTTTGAAATTTGGGATGTTACATTCTTACTCATTAGATTGTTCATAACCCCAAATAGATTTATGACTTAGGGTTTTTTTTTGAAAATTTACATTTTTGATTTTTGAATTGGTTTATATACATTTTTTTCTTTTTGACAAAATAAAGCACCATTTATCACAAAAAATAACCTTTGTATGGTATTTTATACATTTTTTATGAACTACTATACCGCTTGACGTGCCCCATAACTCCCTCTTTAAATCTGCCCCTGCCGTTTAACCCAAAAAAATTGCATCAAATTTTTTTAAAACGAATGGAGTTTTTTTTTAACTATTTTTTAATCACCTAGTATTCTATGAATATCAAACATTATTTATTATTATAATCAATTTTTTTTCATAATATAACATCTAATACTGAATAGAAATTTTATTAAATAATACGTCGGGCCTGATTATAATCCCACCTAGACAATAACAGTTTTATTAGGCCCATAACATAATAAGGTTACGCGCGGCGGAAGTTGGAATTGCTTCTCTTCTTCATCACAAGCTACACTATTCCGGCGTTTGCAAATCTCTCCGATAGTCGACGTTTTGGAACTTGTCCCCCTTTCTCACTGGTATGTTAAACTCTCTTCTGCATTCATGTAATCAATTCATTCTAGCCCTACCATATAATCAGTATTCACCATAGTTTTAAATCGACGTGGTTAGCGAGACTACTTAGATTATTGCGTTAGTATTCAAGATTGTTACATTTCTCCCTACATTCTAAATCACGATGATTAATATTTTATGTAGTCTATGTGATTCAGGGCGATTTTTCGACAATATAACGACAATTTGCAAGCACTAGGGTTTTTCTAATATTATAGTCTTAGATTTACGTATGATTTTGTTGGTTTGTACATGCTAAAGTTAAGATGACATCGCCATCAAAACAACAAGAACCAGAAGAGAGAAATTGGGTGGACATTCCATATGATGTAATGGCTAATATTCTAAACAGAGTTGATGCTTTTGACATACTTGAGAATGCCCAGAAAGTTTGCACAAGTTGGCATAAAATCTGCAAGGATCCTATGATGTGGAGAGTTATAGATTTTTCGGTTAATCATGCGAGACTTGATCAACTACCACCACTAAGGGAGATGTGTAAGCATGCCGTCGATAGAAGCCAAGGCCAATTGGTTGATATCACAATCGTTGGTTTTGCCGATAATGAGCTTCTCCAGTATGTTGTTGATAGGTACATATGTGAGCTTATTTGTCTCTTAGGGATTCCTATTTGATATGCCTCTTACTATTCATAGTAAGAGGTTGGGTCTGACGTGGTCACTTAGACAGATTCGGACTGTTTGATACCACACTTAAAAGTGTCTCATTCGGTCCTATTGCCTTGATATGACTTTTACTGGTCCGATAAGCGGCTAAGTCTGATATAATCTGACTAATTCATGCCTTGACTTAATCAGAGCTAGAGCTGACTTAACCAGCAACTATCAAACAACTCCTTAATCAGTTTTGTTACTTTAACAAATCAAGTCAGCTAAAGCGGCTTGAAATCTCATATTGTTTTGAGGTTACATATTTAAGCTGGAGTGACGCTTTGAAGAAATTACCAGCATTAGAGGAACTCAGTATCTACGTAACACATATCTCGAAAGAAGCTATTGAAAGTGTCGGATGTTACTGTCCCATGCTAAAAACATTGAAACTGAACAATAACCCATTGAGAAGCCGTGAGTTCTCAAAGTTTCCTAATGAGAGAGCAATAGCTATTGGAGAAAACCTACCTGAGTTAAGGCATCTTGAACTCATTGGAGACAAGATGACAAATGTTGGGTTGGAGGTGATTCTTAAAGGATGTCGGTACCTTGAATCACTCGACTTGCGTGCATGCTCTTACATTGACTTGAGTGTGTGCTCTTACATTGATGTTGAGGGGGAACCGATTTGGAGAAAATGTTTGGAGAAGATTAAATGTGTAAAACGGCCCAAAGATTCTCTTAATTTATGCATATATAAGAAATTTTTATACTACTTCGATGGTTGTATAAAATCTTATATATGATATGTAAAACTGCCCAAATATTCTCTTTTAAGTTGTCTTTTTGTTTATTAAAACTTAAATATTAGGTTTTTGTGTCTTTCTCTTCTTCATGTTCCTGCTACAAATTACCTTAAGATGAGTAACACCAAAAGATCCATGGAAAGAAGTGATTTCTTGTATAAAAATTTACAACAGTCGAGATTTTAGCTTCTATTTGGTGGGTTTTATTTTTAATCAATTCCTGTTATGAACATCAAGCGTTAAGTACATAGTTTCATCTCTTGGTTTGATGGAATAGGTTGCTAGCTTGTTTGTTTCTCTTGTGTATTTTAAGAATCAACTATTTTCTCACCAAATTAGTGTCATTGTAACCCAACAAACTACTAGTTTTGATTTTTAAATGGTCCATAACCTTTTTTTTTGTGTGTGTATTGTAAATGTAAACTTTCAAATTTTATCATCCCTTACCGTACATATATGCCATGCTACATGGCAGTTTAGTCAACTAGCATAGTCCACAAACGCTCACTTAACATCAGATTTTTCTATTAAAAACTAATTGTTTTAAAATTTAAAAATGGTTTATTGATTTTAAACCTATTATTCTTGTTTTTGAAAAATTAAGTCCAACTTGTATTTTTATTCTTAGGCTACACGGGGTGGCCTTGGTTAGGACTCGGCGAATCTATCCGAGATGTACTCGACAAACACCGTGCCACGAACTCGACATGTTGAGTTCGGTGGCTTAACTCGGCAAGTGTGTACCGAGTCTCTCTCCTCTCACCATTGCAGTCTCTCTTCTCCCTCTCTTCTTCCCCACTCTTCAACCCCCCCCCCCCCCTTCCTCCTCCTTCCTTGCTAAATTGATGTAGAGTTCGGCACTCAAAGCATGATTCCCTTCAACCTTAAAAATCCACCACCGTCTACCTCCTCCCACAACCACCACTATCCAGTACCAAATCGAAGCTTAAATCCAAACATATCTTGAAGACCCAGAATCCAAACATACCTTAAAAACAGAACGGAAGCAAACTTGATTACATAAATACCCCCAAATGAAAATACTCATGAAACCACCACCATTCATCTTCTTTAACTTGTGCTAGTTCATCTTATTTAATATGTGATAGTTCATCTTTTTCACACTATCAACCCAAAACAATCTCTATGACAAAGAACACAAAATCGAAAAGAGCATATCTTAAATCGATGGAACCTTGTGCACAAAAAAGAAAATGAAGAAGACATATGAACATGATAAAAAAGAACGAGATGAAAAAAACAAAGAAATAATTTGGGTTGAAGGTTTTAAAATTTCAATTTATTTCTTGAGATTAAGGTTGTGTTTGGCACCATAGCTAGTTTATTTTTATAGCTTTTTTAGGTTGCCATGTCTGGCAAGTAAAAAAATAGTTTATAAGCTAGTTTTTTTAAAAAACTACTTAAACTAGTTTTTTAGAAGTTTTTTTAAAAATTTTCAAATATATCCTTAATTAATTATAAAAACATATTTTTCTAAATGTTATTTTATATATATTTCAACTAGTTTTAACAAACGTTATTTTTTATCAACTAGTTTTTTCACATAACAGCTAGCTTTTCAACTATCAGCTAACTTTTCAGCTAGTACACCAAACATAACCTAAATGAAATGCGAATGTTTAGTAAAACCTAAAAGAACAATAAATTAAGAATTTAATTTTTAATACTCTTAAAAGATAATTATATATTTGTATTTATTTGTAATTGTTGTGTATATCTTTTCTTTAATTATAGAGAATATCTTGTATTTATAATCGGCTTAAATTAATAAAAACGCAAGCCATTATACAAACCTTTATAGGGAAGATATATATATTGACTCACAAAACAAATCGAAATGGTTTATCGTGCTTATCTCAAAAACCATGTTGATCAACTAGCTAATGTTGGCAACCCAATTTAAGAAACGAAGATGGTGCTTCAGTTAGTCTTCGGCCTCACCAATGATAATTTTGACACCGTCGCTACCGTCATTAGTCTGACCCGACTGTTATTGGAAGAAACAAGATGCAACAAACTAGACGTACATGCCCAACTAAACTTGAAGTTGCCTTCCACACTTTGTAGATGCAATCGTCAGACGGTTCCTTATAGGGGTGGAATTGGTACGGTACCGATCTTTTTTCCTCCAAACCGTGTACCGTACCAATTATAGTTGGCAGAGTAATTTAGTTACCGGTACCGTACCAAGTATATTTGGTACCAACTAATTTGGCTGCCAACATATTTGGTTGGTACAAATTGGTATTGGTATATACCAAATTTTTTAATTAATATAACTTGAAATTGCCAATTACAGAAGAATTGCGAGAATCGGAAATTAAGGGCAAAAACTCATCTTAAACGCGAATTTGAGATGAAGTTGTGGACTTACGTTCATCCCTTCTTTTGGTATTACTTTCGCTTTTAGTGTAATATAATTCGTTTGGTATTACTCATCAAGTGCTCAAAAAATAATAAGTATAAAAAGAATTGTCAATCACTCAATTATGTTAGTAATTCCAAGACTGATAGTTGTTACTCTAATTAAAACATGAAAATACTAAGAATTGATATATATATATATATATATATATATATATATATATATATATATATATATATATATATATATATTGGTTGGTACGGTAGAACCGTGGTATCCAAAATTTCATACCGTTACCATACCAAGATTACTTAATTGGTATGGTATTACCAGCCAAATATATTGGTTACCAAAAAAGTTGGCTACCAATTTTATTGGTTCGGTTGGTAACGTGTTGGTTGGTTCTCCGTGGTACGTATTGCCTTCCTTATACATGGATATGGGTCCACATCTCACTTGAAAAGTGATGCAGGTAAACTCTAAGACTTCTTTTGTTTTAATAAAAATAAATATATTCTCGTTGGTAATGGTACTCATGTCCTAGGTCATGGCAACACTATCACATCTTCCCTAAATTTCCCATTCTGCCTACACCAAATTTATCATGTTCCTAATAATATCAAGAACCTTATAGTTGTTAGCCGAGTCAACTCAAATTTCTAAACTTTGACTTCTACTTAACCATTTAATTTTTATTTTTATTATCTTCATTATTTATTTATTTTGTTTAATTATTTTTATAAATCCTAGAATTAGCCCTAACGAACGGGTCTACAAGTGAGGCTACGATATCGAATATATTAGTGTCAAACCAAAAAACAATATTCTTGCTTAGATGATTCTTTTTAATCTGGTAGCTACTAGATTGAATCTTATATATGAATGCTTTGATGTTTGGATCAAAATGAGCCGAGAGTCAATTGATGATAGTTCATACAAGTGTCAAACTTAAAGTTAACTGATTTCTTTGTTACAAAACCCAATTTTATCTTTTTAATTCTTTATAATTGCTTCTTTTTTTTTTTTTTTTAATCTTCTTGCTAATGTTAATAAATTCGATCGTTCAAAAAACCAAAATCAAATAATTAGTTTTAATAAAACAACATTTATCAAACTAATAGTATTTTCAAATGTCAATTTTCAGTAGATTTCCATTGTAATATATACAGGTTAACTGCATGTTTTATTACTGTTTATATTGTAAGACACATGTCAATCATAATTTATTATAAAATATGTTACTACACCATGTTGGTGTAAATGAATAACATAACACCAAATTTTATGTTACACCAAAATGGTGCAAGACATCTATCTTTACAATGACCCAAAAAAAAAAACTTAGCATGTATAGATAAACGAAATAAATAAACTTCAATCTTAATAGTAACGAAAGTAAATTTGGTCTTTCAATTTCTATCAAAATCCACAATCAGTCAAAACTCAAAAGTGGCAGTTTTTATGGCAGGGGTAAAAGAGTCATTCGAAATATACTAGTGTAAACAAGATAGAAAATCACACATATAGACACTAACCTGTTAAGACTTCAACATGTATCCAAGGTAAAGCCCAGAAAGTCCCACCACAACAACAAACAGGAATTGGAATCCAATCTGCCCTTTTGTTCTTGTGTTTTGATTATTTCTAAGCTTTTCCTGCAAAAATTATCCATTCCAGTCAATTAAACCAAACATGGTCATGGAATGTAATGAGTGATTCCATTCCATCCAACCAAATACAAAACAACATGCTGACCTGTCGAAGCAGTGACTCAAGTTCTCTGAGTTTTGACTTCATCTCTTCCACATCATTTGATAATCTCAGCTCTTCTGTATGCTTCCTTGCTAAAGATTTCTCATTCTTCATTGCCACTACACAAACACTCTTTCTAGTTTTTGACACCTCTATTCCCTCCTCAACCTTTCATAAGTTTCAAAATAATTAGTAATCATCAACACCATTTCAATTCTCTATAATTACAAATTAAGTAACACAGCTGAAAGCTCTTACAGGTGCATAACAGCTATATCTTTGAGCAAAATCATCATTTGATTCTGGGGATGCATTATATGGCCTTATCCTTGATATCTCATTCATTGGAGACAATACAGGTGAGGAGGGTGGACTAACAAGGATCACTTGAAGCCTCTTTTCCTCAATATGCTTTCCTTCCTCTTTAGAAAACTAAAAAGATTAAATAAATCAGATAAAAGAATCAACTTTCTAATTCAAACCAACGTCTTCATTTATAGTTATACCAACCGTTGTAGATGTGATATGCTCCTCTTTTGTCCCCTTGGGAACAATTGTACTTTGAATCAAGAACTTGTCCTTGCTTACAAAATCAGAAGGCACTGCATTTTGTGCTTGCATAGTAACTGTGAAAAAGATTATCAGCAAATCAGTAGCATCCAAATTCCAACACCAAATTTTGAAAAATAAAGATTATATTTATACCTGTGAAAGAGCATGTTAAATTTGGCTTAATGATTCCGGTATGTGGTCTGACACAGTATTTCTTTGCAGATGTGGTTTTAACCTGACAAGAAATTTACTTCAGGTGGATAAAGATAAATCTGATGTTATGAGATATCAAATCTTTAGAGATAAGATTGAGATTAGATATTGGGAATAAGGTTAGGACCTTAAAAGCAACATGGTGATCAGATCTATTTGTCAGTCGAATACAACATGAGCTTTGTTTCTGGAATTCAACTAATGTGAAATGGAGAATAAGAACATTATGAGTTAGCATTAGCACATTCTTATATATAAAATAATGAACTGTAGACCTGTATTT